ACTGTCTCAACCAGTCTTTGATTCAACAGAACACTACAGAACAACAAAAAAGGAAAAACAAAACAACAAAAAACCAAACAGCAAACAAACAAAATAAACCACATAAACAAAAGAAACATGGTTTAATAGATCGGTGTGATTTTATCAAGACACAACATGACAACTGTTTCAAAAGTAGATAACAGAAATAACATTCCTACATGAACATTCAGATGCTCTCCTGACTTTCACAAATATTTAGCATTCAGGACTTTTACTGAGGTCAGAAACAAGTGTGCTCAAGTGCTTATGCTGTTTATCATTCAGCTGCCTAACATTCAAAAATAAAATTATTTTATTTCAAAATCCAACCTTCTCTTCCTATTATTTCTTCCAATATGTTCACAAGATCAAAAATTAAGGCCCCACACCATTGTTAAGCAGCATGAAGTACCACTGATTCTGTGAGGTATTTTTCTCTACACTAGCCCAGAAATTCTCAGCTCTTTACACACATCTGCTTGAATGGTTTATCTTTATTGAGATTTTATCTACATAAGGCATTCAGTTCTACAGAAAATAAAACAAAAAAGGAATTTGGACTCCTACAGTGAATCTCTACTTCATTAAACAAATCAGCACATTTACCATTTCCTGTTGAAAAATAAAATTGCCAAACAATGTCTCCTTTAGAACGAAAGTAAATAAATCCAGATAGAAGACAATTTTTTTCTTTTTTTTCTTGAGAAAGGAATAACTAAAAATATAAGCGAGAACCAGGCTCAGTGAGAGGGAAGGAAAGCAATTTTTATGTTTTCTCATGGAGCTTTTCAAAATCAAGTGGCTGCTCAGATCCTGTGAGCTACTGTTCTATTCCTGTAACAATATGATGGCTGGGGCAAGCAGTGCTCCAAGCTCCTTTGCTCTCTTCAGTTTTGCTCTCTCCTGCTGCTTTGTCAATCTATCCTGGTACAGAGCAAAGGCAAACAAATAGGTACACCAAAAGAGAGTGAGACTGGTTGAGGTTGGAGAAGTTTTGGACTTGCTGTAAGGCACACTGTTATCTTAAGGGCCCTCTTTGTGGGGTGCAGAACCCTTACACTTTGATTCTGGTCTGTTTCCTAATCCCCAGCCTGTCCTCTTCCTTTGTCAATCCTAATCCTGCTCTATCTCCAGATTATCAATAGCTACTGACACAGCATTGCTGATGTCTGAGTAGGAGCTGCAATAAAGGCTGTACAGAAGTACAGCCCTCTTGGTACAAAGTCCTTTGCGAATAAATATGTGATTTACCACTTTGAGTTCAGCTTCCCAGGGAGCACAGAGCAGTGCTGAACTACAAGAGTAGTCCTCTCTCCTTTCCTTAGCTTTTTAACTTCAGCTGCCCCTTGTGTTCTTCCCTGAGCCTCTTCATTGGTCCATCACCTTCTTTCCTTTTGATCTTCTAACAGTAGAAGGGGATTTGGCTGATATAATACAGGGACCCAGTATTTAGACAGCTGGGCCTGAACTCATATAGACAATAATCTTGTCTTAACTAGGTCAGATGAATCTCACCTTTGGAGTGTTAATTTCTCCCTGCTGATGGAGGCTGAGGCTCATGACCTGAGACTCAGGTGTTCATCAGCTAATTCTATCAAAAATACTCCCCAATAATCCAATTTTAAATACTCAATGAAATCTTTTTAAAGATTATTCATTTGACCATTCCATTGATTCTGTAGCCTGTATTCTTCAGACGTAGGAGATCTGATTGTAGGTTTCTCCAAATGTGTTCTCTTTGCTGTCTTAGTATGTTAGCTTTTTAAAAGCCACATTGTTAGCTATTAAAATGTTGTCTAGAGTAGCCAACTTCTTTTCTTTACCTGTCCTTTGACTCCTTGAATATATTGTTTGATAAGACTTGCAGATTTGCAAAATGGCTTAATTCAAAATTTTCTGAAGAAAGAATCCTAATTTCCTGCTGAAATGTAAAAGGAAGTAGTCAAGAAGATTAATGACTTCTTAGGAAACATCTTTCATTACAGAAAATCTACAGAATGTAGCACATCCTCCAGGTTAAACAAGTAGGCCCCAAATACACCTCTCATGAGATTGTCCTTGGAGCAGGTGCAATAGATAAAATGTCAATCACTTGCCTTGATGAAGAAGAATGAAAGTGTAATTTATTTTTTTCTGCGTTGTTTTTCTCAATGTTCTGGGCCAGTGCAGAAGGACAGAGGTGTGCTGTGCTAACCACTATCACCTCATTGCTAATCTTCAGGATGGCTTTAGCACAGAACCTGAACTTCTTTCAAGCCATACTGGTAGCCCTGCAGGCAGACCTTGCAGTGAGGAGCTCTCTGCTCTCCCTCCCAATGCAACTCAAGGGCCATGGGTCTGGCTCTACAGAGTCAATACAGAAAAAAAAAAAAAAAGACAGAAGCAGTTCAGCAAAATAGCAAGGTACTTGGCTGGTAGCTCTACTATGTCCGATCAGATTAAGTAAAACTCAGTAGCTGTTATTGGGAGAGTGGGTGGGTTCTTTCTATAACTAATTACTTTTTCTCCCACTACATCACTTAACCACATGCTGCTTATCAGATCTGCTAGCCCATGGTGAGCTTCACAAAGTGGGACTAGACAGCTGCTAAGACATGAGCTAGCTAGTAAGCAGCAGGATATTTTGCTGTTCTGTATGTGATTGTAGTGCAAATTAGCCTTTGATCAACGTGTAGAGACAATAACACATGAAACAATATGAATTTTTTATATGAGACTTACTGGTTGTGAAATTGTCTGTGTTCAATTTAAAACAGCAAGCAGAGATATATGACTTCATAGAAGATGTGTTTAAATTCCAAACTAACTCACGTATCACTGCTATATCCAAAATCACTTCTCAATCTTGACATCCTTATGCCTCATATCCTGAAATGTTTTCTGCATCTCCAGGATTATTGTCAGTCCTCCTTCAAAATCCCTCTGAAATTTCTGTATTCTTCCTGAGAAGACACGCAAAACAGTCCAAAATCCTTTAGTCACAAAATACAAAGCCACAAAGTGACATAATTTCTTCATGATTATTCATTTCCCATTAAGTCCTAAGGTCACAGTAAAGTACCTGTGAGGGTACTATTAAGAAGATTCACATCAGTTTCTATGATGATTACACCATCCTCCACTGAATCATTCACTTCACCATGTTAGTTTCAGTAAACGTCCAAGAAAAATCTGGTGTAAACATGGTACATCTAACAGACAGCTATATTAACTTACAAAAAACTGTTCACATTTATCTGAGAACATCTACCTTTTTGAACTATCTTCCTGATAGATATTAAATAAAGCAACACCCATGGCAATATATGGCAATATCCCCCAGCTGGCAAATTCCAAGGTGTGTTAAAAATTAACAGAAGCATTTCAAAGACATTAGGCAGTTTCTCTTAAGACTCCTGGGTGGAAGTTATAAAGTACTGTTGCATGACTCTGAATGCTGCACAATGCTGTTCCCTGCTACAGACCATTACCTTTTATTATTGAGATATAAAATCTATAATATATGCAAAATATTCAAAACCAGATATTCCTTAGATACATATTTTCTGTCCTATACTTCACCCTAAATCTAGCAATGCTCTTGTCAAACATTAGCTTTGGTTGTCATTTATCTTGTTCCTCTCATAAATACACTACTGTCCTTTATCCTCCATGGCTTCAGGTATTTTAAATCTTTATTCAACTGTCCTGAACCAGCCATGTTGACCAACCTATACATTAATTATTTCTACTTATTTTCATTATATACTGACTTTTTTTTGTGCCATTAGAATCCCACATTTGGCTTGAACCACTTTTTGTCCAATTTCACTTTCACGTGGCAGTCCTCTTACAGCTTCTAGAGAAACAGCCCTAAAAAATTCTACAGATATAGGCATATTTTGCTCTGCTGCATGTTGGCAGAAACACTCGCATGAGTATTCTCTACAGATATAGGCATATTTTGCTCTGCTGCATGTTGGCAGAAACACTCATACTTGCATGAGTATTTGTGCAGAAATACTCATGCAAGACAGATGTGGATGAACTGCACAGCATAACAAGATCCTTTGGCTTGAAGCTGGCTACATTCACACCACTGACCATGACTGGCATAGGTGTATCTCAGCACCTGTGACCTTCCTATCCACGATCAGCTTTTCCTTGTTCATCATAGCTGACATTAAGTACACTGTGCTGGACATTAAGAGATTGTATTTTTAAATGTTACCAAAGAGTAACCACTAACTAGAGGCAATCCTTGCAAGTCGTCATCCCAAATCCCTGTGTAGCTGGGTGCCACATTGCTAGATTATATTCTTCACAATTTCTTCATCTGGACGTAAAAACCTTTTAATCTACTTCTTTCTCTCCCACTGATGCCATTCCATGTCCAGTCTTCTACAGCACAAATCACTTCACACATTTCTGTCGCTGATATTAGACTGAGCTTCCCACAACCTCCCCCGGCACCGGCACCCACCGAGCATCTGCTATGAGGGGGATGAAACCTGCACCTTCTCCTCCTGCCTGGGGGCTGGTCCCTTCTCCAGAGGCAGGACAAGAGGACACAACCCCAGCTGTATCAGGGGAGGTTTATTTTGGATGTTGGAAGGAATTTCTTCACTGAGAGGGTGATTACATATGGGAACGGGCTGCCCAGGGAGGTGGAGGGCGGGGGGTGGGTTCCATCCCCGGAGCTGTTTAAGTAGAAACAGGATGTGGCACTGGTGCCATGGTCTACTGAACACGTGGTGTTCATCACAGGTTGGACCCGATGACCTCAGAAGTCTTCTCCAACCTATTTAACTTGGTGAGTTTTACTTCTGGCTGCCCATAAGTCCAGTTGCTGTTCAAACCGTTCCAGGATCCCCCATTTCCCATTCCCAACTCCCCTCCTCCCCGGGATCCCCCATTTCTCATTTCTCACTTCCCATTCCCAGCGCCCCTCCCGCCCCGGGATCCCCGCCCGCCGCGCGCGCGCACGAGGCGCCGCCTCCGCAGGGAGCGCGCGCGAGTCCCGCCCTTCCTGCCGGGAAGGAGGAGCGGGAGGGGGCGGGCGCAGCCGGACGGGAAGATGGCGGACCTGGAGGAGCAGCTGTCCGACGAGGAGAAGGTAGGGATGGATGGATAGGTTGCGCCCAGCCGCGCCGCCCTCCTGTGCCCCGTCCCCCCGAGCCGGCGGGCTCCCGTTTCGGCGCGGCC